CCGCCCCGCCGCCGCCGCCGCTGCTGCCCTCTTGTCCGCAAGATGCGCACACGGGAGATGCGGCGAGGTGTGCCGCGCTCTCGAGCACCGCCCCCCTTTCCTTTCCTTTTTCTTCCCCTTCCCCTTCCCCAGAGGCAGAAGCTGGGGCTGGAGTGGCAGCGGCGGCGCTGTTAACCCGCTGCGGTCCGGCGTCCCCTCCCCGTGCCAGCCACAACCAGCACAACCAGTGCCAGGCGCCTTCTCTCTCTCTCCCTTTCTCTCTCATAAGCCCAGAGCTGGAGCCAAAGGCTTTGTGTCCGCCTGCATGCACAGCGCGGTGGCTCCACGTAGAGACGCGCTGCCAGCAGCGCCAAGCCTCCGAGACAGAAGCGACGGTTGCACCACCAGTTCACACACCCTCCCCCTCCGTTGCCGCCGCCTCCTTCTCTTTATCCTCTGCGTGAACGGAGCTCGAGTAACTAACTACCAGACCCCCCCCCGCCGCCGCCCCCGCCTCCCTTGACCAGCACCGACACCCACCCATCCTTTCCAGGCCGAGGCGCATGGGGAGGGCAGAGGCGCGCGGGTGGGGGGAATCCCGCCTCATCCACATCGGTGCACGACGACGGCTGAAGGCTGGAACTTGGCTTGGGACCCCCTCGCCCATGTCCACGGTGGTGGAGGAAGATGAGAAGGAGGAGGGTCGCCGGTGTTACGCCCCAGCTAGGCTGTGGTTCTCCCTCCGGCGAGTAGGTCTCTCCCCACCCCACCCCGGCCGCACCGACCCAGTGTTGTAAGCAGGCAGGCAGGCGTCAAGGGCATTGCTAACCTTGGGATTTATGCATAATGTGGGGATGCTAGCTAGGAAGGTAGGAACGCGTGTTTGGCACATGCCTGGATCAGAGATGGTAACATTTTCCGCTTGGGAGGGAAACTACAGCTCCCAGAACACCTTAGGCAGCATAGACCCTGGCCATGCTGGGTAAGGCATCCTGGACGTTGTAAGGCAAAAATGAAACTTTCCCCACCTTTGGTCTGGAAGAGATGCGACACCAATGTTTTCCGTGGCAAAAGTAATGTGTGAAGCTGCTTTGGGTGCCTGACAGCTGAAGATGTGAACCGAAATCACCACCAGGAATACGAGTTGGTTTAAGAAAGCAAGACCAAGCAACTCTCTAACTAACTCATCTAACTAAGCAAGGGGGCGAGTGTTTTGGGTTGCTGCTGCTGCTGATATATGCCATCAAATCACCTCTGACTTACGACAGCCCTATGAATGAGTGATCTCAAAAAATCTTCCTCAGCTGTTCTAAACTAAAAGTTGTAGGTTCCTTGATGAAATCCACCCATCTTGCATTTGGTCTTCCTCTTCTCCTGCTTTCTTCTCGCTTTCCCAGCATTGTTGTCTTTTTTCCAGAGAATCCTGAACTTCTCACAACGTGTCCAAAGTAGGACAGCCTTAATTTCACTATTTTTGCCTCTAGAGAAAGTCCAGGCTTGATTTGCTCTAAGAAACTTTGGGGCTATCACTTCTATCACCCCTGACAAAGGGGCAGGGGTGGCTGAGGTTGCTGGCAGTTACAGTTTAACAATAGCTGAGAGTCCACACATATCCTCTACCCCTGCTGAAGCTCAATACTGTTCATGCTGAGGGGCAGAAACTGTCCAGGATTCAGCCAGAATTATTTCTAAGCTCAGCCTTGAAATATCAAGGACAGAACCTGATTTTTCCCCCCTCTACAATGAAGCCACAGAGCTGTTTCAAAGACAGCAAAAAGTATTGACACTTCTTTCTATGGCCTTATGTTTGCAATGGCCCAGTACTTGATAGTGCAATAGCAGAGAGATAGATACAATGTGTGTGAAATGCAGCAGCCATATTCTGGCAGATACATATACTGTATAAACATTGCAAGGCAATTAAATACTTAAGTAAATCTGGATTAAATATGCATCTACGTAGCTGGAAGGGGAATTGCTATCTCTCTCCATACAGTAGTTGATCCTATCCTTCTCTCTTCCCTCACCCAAATCACCACCAATGGGACTCTCATTCCGTATTACCATTTGAACACGCTTTTGGCATGCCACTTCCCATTGTTTCTGATCTCTAACCATCGTATGATACTGTATGGACTCTCATTCCGTATTACCATTTGAACATGCTTTTGCCATGCCACTTCCCATTCTTTCTGATCTCTAACCATCCTATGATATTCTATAGCCTTGTGGCGCAGTGGTTAAACCGCTATACTGCGGCCAAAACTGTGCTCACAACCTGGGGTTCAATCCTGGGTAGCGGCTAAAGGTTGCCCCAGCCTTCTATCCTCTCGAGGTCCGTAAAATGAGTACCCAGCTCGCTGGGGGGGGGGCAATGTCTAGCCTGCATAATTGACTTGTAAACCGCTCAGAGAGTGCTTGAAGGGCTATGGGGCAGTGTATAAGCAGCACGCTTTGCTTTTGCTTTATAGTACAGTTTTTTTTTCTGAACAGAGTGTATAGACACTAAGCCTAACCCAAGACATCTGAAGGCTTGAGGCAACTGGTCTCCCCCCCCCATGCCCCACACTCCAGCCCCAATTCCATGGACAGAAGTTGGCCAGAGTGGCAGATGAATCGTATTTCAATATGGGTTAGATCCTTCATCAGACCTGAAGCAAGAGGACTGCGCAATTGTTTGGCCACGTACATGCTGCAGTACCTGGTTAGAAAGGGGAATGGCTGGAGAGCTCACATGAGCAGGCTGGGATGGGTGCTGATGCCCTTCAGCCCCTGCCATCTGAGGCCGTCAGCTGACTCTGTCATCAAAGGGAAAAGCCAGCCTCTGACATGTTCATCCTCCACAAACATGCTGTCACACAAGGAACTCTCAGCAACTTTGTGACAAAAGGACATTATTTTGCCCAGTGCATCCATGATGCAGGGTATGGACTCTTGTCTGCTTTTATCCACACACAGCCTTCAGCCAATCAATTTCCTTTAATAACAAGTTCCAAATGACAAGGTGAAATGCTCACTGACTCCCCAATTATGTCATGGATAGTTGGTGGATTAAGGATTGGACGCTTTAGGTGGTTTCCTTCCAGCTGGGTCCCACTTGGTATGTTACCACAGCACCCAGTCCATAGCAAGGCAATACCATGACTAAGAATGATAAATACTGTATGTCATAAACTAGTATGTAAGTTTCTTGGTGCTCCAGAAATCTTCATAAGGCTAGACAGTAAGTAAATCAAGACTGAGGGCATGGTACAACTGGCAATAGGAATCTATTTCAGATCAGAGTTTTTAAAAATCAGGTTCAAGTCACAAAGTATTTAAATTGGTGGCCATGTTAACATTCACTGAATGGAAATCAATTTAGTTCTGGTGATTTAGGCCAGTTTTGGCATATACACTGCTGAAATAGACTCCTTTCCTTTCTCCTTTAGGAGCCCGATTTTCATTACTATAAGGCCA